ACAGAATTTCCTTGAATAGATACTTCCTCGAATTGTTCAAACAGAAATTATCAATATTATTTATAGCATAAACTACACGAACAAGATAAATATTAAAAATGAAGACAAAAAATGAAAATGATTTATCTGAAACATGGAATTTATAAATGGATATTATGAGTTATAGTCTTATTTTCTCTTCTAAACCAGTGCAAACATATATAACCGAAAATAAATAATATTGATAATTTCTGTTTGAACAATTCGAGGAAGTATCCATTCGAGGAAATTCTGTTCGAGAAAACTTCAATCGAGCAAATTATTTTCGAGCAAACAGTTTTCGAGGAAATTTCATTCGAGCATATTTGCCAAACCCCAATATTGTACTAACGAAAGTGCATGATTGAATAGTCCAAAGTAGAGTCCTGCAGGTTCCCAAAAACGCTTTTTTCGGGTTCGGTTCGGGACAGGTTTCAAGTGTACGGGTTTGGACCGGGATTGGGTTTCTTGTTTAAAGAAACACGAACCTGATTAAATTTTGCATTATTTTTTTCAGATAGACCTTTTACTATTTTATTGAAGACAAAAATAAGAAAAGATCTGTAAGATCCTAATAAGAAACATCTGTTCCTGAGACTGCTAAACGTTCACAAAAGTAGAAATAGAAAAAAAACTCATTTCTTAAATCTGCTCATTTTCAGTGTCATTAAAACTACCATCATTCTGATTGAGTTTCTGCTTCTTGACTGTTAATTGTTTATGCTCGTCATTTACATTTACATCTGACTGTTTGCGCTTATCAGTATTATTCATCGATATTTGTGTATCGAAACATTTTAATAAAGACAAATTTTTCTTAAGAAACATTAACTTGTTAATGTGAAAGAGGGCACTGCTTTACTGAAAAGATCTTTTTCGGGTTCGAATTTACTTTTCAAAAATCGGGATCGGATTTCCAAAAAAATTTTTACGGGTTAGGGTTCGGGACGAATCTTAAATCTACGGAAGCGGATCGGGTTCGGAATGGAAAATATCAGACCCGCAGGACTCTAGTTCAAAGTGTCCACTCTGAGAATCCACACTGTTTTTGCAAATATGAAAGGTTTCTGAGAGTTTATGACGAAGTTTTTCCAAAAGGTCCTAAAAACTACTTTTTCTGAAATTCTGATATTCTAGGAAGATGTCAAAATGAAAAAAGATTTCAATAATGCTAGTTTGTAGAGGAAACATTTCTAGTTAAAATGAGATGTCTCCCAGCTTTGATCAAAAGTTATAGCGGTTTTACTAAGAGCCCTAAAATCTATACTATAAACTGATGCTATCATATCCCATAATCTCTTTTTACGACTACAGCGTTTCGTACTTCCAAGATATCTCCGTCATTTTTTAAGCTGAAAATTCTGAATTGGTCGCAAAAAGTAGAGAAATGTTTTTTCTATGTTGTGATGTTATTGGATTTTTCAATTTAAGTTTAGTTTAGGAGAAGTTTAAAATGTTTTCGAAAAGTTAGATTTTTTCATCACTAATATCAGGACAGCTCTGGAAAAACAAATGATAAAAGGTTGACGTTATTAGAATGACTAAGTTACCTCAAGGTATACATCCTCTGAAATTTTCATCAAGATTGAATGTTCGTGAACGAAAATAGGTTTCTGAGTGAGTGCGGACCCTTAATATATCATATTTCAATTAGGATTTTCACGATTTATGCCTTCAATACTGCACCATTAATCTTTTTAACTGAACTACATGAGACTTACAAGAGAATGAATTTCACAGCGAAAAATGTCAAAAAAGCGTCTGTAGAGCATAAATTACACTAAACACAAAATTAGACATTTTTTGTAAATTCTTCATTAATTTCCACTACATTAGTAATAAAAATGGATCGTACTATCGGACTTATCTGTGATTAGGCATATCGCGAGTCTTCGGTATCACTAGTTTCAACAAACAGTGTGAGAGATTTTTAATGTTACTGAGATACATCTACATAAATATAATGTGTAGTTTTTAAACAAGTACAAGAAAAAAAAAATTTTTTACTTATTAAAATTTGTCTTTCTAAACAATCGAACAGTATGTATTGACTATACATAATATTTCTCTGTTCTATGCAGGTAAATCAGAAATATTGAAAAAAGTAGCTGAATTTGTTGGTATAACAATGATCTCTTTACCACTATCTGCTGGCGAATTAAATCGTCCATTAGTTGGTGAAACAGAAAAGATTCTAATGAATATGATGAATCGTGCCAAATTAATTCCATATTTAATATGTGCAATGACAGTTGATGAAATAGATGGTCTTGCACCAAAACGTGATGGTAATGCTCAACAATCAAAAGTTGATGGTATTAGTGTATTATTATCACATATTGAAGGTATTAAAGATGTACCAAATTTAATTATATTAGGTGCAACAAATCGTCGGCAAATGATGGATGATGCATTTTTACGTCGTATGCAAACAAAATGTTTTGTTGGTCGACCTTCACCAAAAACACGTAAAAAATTATTAATACCATTAATGGTTAAAAATCCAGAGATATTTAGTACTGAACAATTAGATTTTTTAATAAAAATCACAACAAATTTTAGTGGAGCAGCATTATCCTTATTCAAAGGTGAAATTTTATCTGTTATGAATAGTAATATGAATGCATCTATTCGTAATGATGTACAAATAGATATTAATCAACAATATTTATTAAAAGTAATTGATCGAATTGCTCGTGATAATAATATTTGGTTTGGTTTTACAACATTACCAGAAATATATCAATTAAATGCATCCGTATTTGATCAATGTCAAGAAAAATATTCATTAGTATTAAAAGATTTAAAACCGACTGGTAGAATATTAGTTGATTTACAAGATAAAAAAATTTTTATTGAACAAATACAACCATTATATACAATTGAAATTGATTTAGATCCAACAGAAATATCATTATTACAATTATTATCAAGATTCATTCATGGATGTTTATCACGTAATATTGATACAATTCAAGTAATTGATCGTAATTATTTATCAATTCATAATGCATTTGATGATAAACAAATATTTGAATTATTATATTCAACATTAATGGAATGTGATGAATATAATCGTCAAATGGTTATATTTGATATTGATTCATTAATTATGTTAAATGAATCAAATTCAGATAAAACAAAATCAATATCAATATCAAATATATCATTGTATCAAGCAGTTAGAGAACAATGTAAAAAAACATTTATCAATGATAATAAAGAAAAATGGATTGTTATTATTGTTAAACATCCAATATTAAAAAATTCATTATGTCAAGATATTGCTTTTAATAAAACAGAAAAACAAATAAAACAAGAACAAGATGATGAACAACAGCGATTAAGTATGTATGATAATGCAAAATATTTAGATTTTATTTATACATATTTCTTATGTATGACTCCTACCAGTTCTTTTCAAAAGAACGAGAACTGCTACCAGTTCTTTCGACCAATTCTCAGGAACTGTGAGAACTGGAACTGCCCCACCTCTACTAGAAACGAATAAAAATCAAAGGTTGATAGTTAATTTTGATTTTTTTTTGTTTTTGGAAAATGTGAGAAAGTCGCAGCACGATGTCTTAGAGAGATAATTTCTTAGTTGAACTACTTGTTGATTTTCTTTCTACTATCCTTTCTACATCTGTCGTTTCCATGTACATAGAAGAACATATATTTCGACTTTTTTAGATGATAAAAAAGAAAAAAAATGTCCTAAATGTTTAAACATCTATCAAAAATCTGAATATGGTAATACATGTAATTATCATGATGGATTTTTATATAATTTAAAGACAAATGATATAACGACAGCATTAAAAGCAAGTGAAATTGTATTTCAAGCTGAATTCGAAAAATATGTACATACAAATAATGGTGAAAATGAAGATGATAATCAAAATGAAACACCCAAATTTAAATGGATATGTTGTTTAAAAGATTTTAATGGTACACAAGGAAATGGAAATGGTTGTGTACGTGGCCAATGTGGTTTACCAAAACAATTACAAGAAGCAGAAAAATCGCTGAGCGATGATGAATCTATTCGATTAGTGCAAGATTATTATTTAAATAATCCATCTTATCTACAAAAAAGAATAATGTTTACACAACAACAACAACAACAACAACCTCATGCTACACTAACTACTGCTGCTGTTTTTTCTACTAATAGAACCACTACTTCAAACATTATCTGATTCACACCATTTTAATCCAGACAACAGAAACCGTTTATTAAATAATACAAGAGAATCTGCAGTAATTCATGGTACCATTCAGAAGCTATATGGTATTACACCACATCTCAAATAACTGTTTCCGTTTTTAAATACTTTTTTGTTTAAATAAAAATAAAACTGATACAAATAGAACATATACCAGCACAGAGACGTCGAAAAATGTTCGACTACTGAGCAATAATCCCATCTGGCACAGTTCTCACAACGAATGTTCGACAGAAATATGAAATTTGACTTTAATTTTCTCTAAAGAAAAATTTGTATTTTGAATTTCTGAATGTTTGATAATAACTTTTGAAAAAGCAAAATATGCCATTCAACAGCAAATTCAAAGTACTATTTGACATACACAGACAATGATATATTGGCACAATTAATGAAACGCAAATTTTCTCACAGCAACGAGACCTAATTTTATCATAAATAAATGAATTATATACCAAATGAAAGCTTCGATCGTGTTTTCCGTTTTTTGCTTAATTTGCTCGGTTTGCCTTAATACGAAATTCTCATTTCGTATACGAAATTCTCATTTCGTATGATAAGCCATCATCACGAGCAATCAATTATACGACTTTACGTAAAACTGTCACGGCTTCGCTACGAAAAATATAGTGATAGCTATCACTTATTCTAAACATTATTACTGATAATTCAAGAAATCCTATCAATACAAAACTTAAATAGTTTTGAAACATTTCACGGACACTTTATAGAACTACGAACTTTGTGAAAATCAACAGTTTTAACTGAAGAAAATTAGGTAAGGAAGTATCTCTGTGAAAATTGGTTTTTAACAGCAGCATTGATTGACAGAAGGAAGAAAAGTATGCATCTCGACTGGGAATCGAACCCAGGACAGTGGTATTCACGACCATTGCTCTGACCGCTGAGCTATCGAGACACAGCTTTGATACACACATTTCTTCCTTTTATGGATACACTATTAAATAGTGACGAATGAGGATTTTTACTCTACGTAAACTGATTTTATCGTCGAGTACACCTGGAAGTGAGAACACACCAGGACCATACAAGACCGAATCGCACTACCGGCTTTCTAAGAATAGCGAACGGACATATTTTTCGTAGCGAAGCCGTGACAGTTTTACGTAAAGTCGTATAATTGATTGCTCGTGATGATGGCTTATAATACGAAATGAGAATTTC